CAGCAGGAGAAGCAGAGCAGAGTTTTTCATCAAAGTTGAACATGTTGGGGTCGAAGGCAGGAGGCACGTATTTGGTATCTACTCCCATTTTAGTGAAACATGGTCTCCTGTCAGCATAGGAGTTGCTGCAGCACTGGGAGACGTTGTCATTGATAGGTGTGGTCTCCTGCCTCCTGCACATATCCTGAATCACAATGCTCAGCTGAAGAGAGAAAGAAAGGAGGACAAACATGAGTTACATCTTCTTTCAGTAACAGATCAGGTGATGTCTGTGTCACAGCAGCAGAGCTGGCACTGGAAGCTGTCAGATCTAAACACCTGCTTGGAAATGGCATTTATTTAAAAATATTTCTGGCGTGAGGCATTTCTTAATCTGCAAGCAGTCTGTCTGTTGGGGTACAATTAATAAGTGCATTTTTTAGTAGGCTGTTCAGCTTTTCCAGATACAAGCTGCTGCAAACCCAATCAGCTTCCTTTTCCTTTCTGAGGGAGAAGAAAGTTTAGCTGACATTGTCACAAGCTACCATCAGAGAACAATTTAGGTTCTCATATCCATTAAAAATTATTTCAATTTCTGTTAGGTAGATGCTTAAGTTGGGGTTGAGTTGACTGCCTCACCAGAATTTAAGATCCTTGAGAAGAGAAGAAATCTCCCAGAGGAGAAGAGAGAATAAACGATGTACTCACATATCCCTCAGAACAAGGCAGGCGTCTGTCTTCAGGCAGCTGGCAGCACTTGGTGCCCACAGTTGACATTTTCTTGCCAATTTCAAGCAAGGTCTCAGTTGATACCTGAGGCATTTTCTTGGTGTAGCGGATCAGAAGCCTGAAAAAGTCATGTCAAAATGTCTCACTCCTCACATTTGAAGAGTGCTCTACTGAGCTAGACCACTGAAGTGAAAATAGAAGTCAAGACTGTGCTGGTTTGGTGTATTTTTTTGGTAGCGGGGGAAGGGCCCATGGGATGGCTCTCATAAGAAGCTGAGAAGCTTCTCCTGATCCAAAATCAGCCAAGGAGCCATTAAAGGGACAAGAGATGCTCTTCAGCAATTAACATATGAAAAAGAATTGAGATAACAGCTGAGCAGAGTGAGCAGTTAAGAAACAAGATCTGTGCTGGAGAGGCAAAGCAGTGCCAGGTTGGTGAGGGAGAACATGTCCAAGCAGAAGGCTCCCTGTAACCTATGGAGAGCTGGCAGCTGTACCCCTGCATTAATGGGGCATCATAGTGAAACATTCCCTGAAGGTGCCAGAAGGGGTGAACTTGGATTTGCTGCCAGTGAACATGGATCATGTAGCCATGGAGGACCCCATGCCAGGGAACATGACTCTTTCTGAAGAAACCCATGACTGTGGGAAGCCCAGGCTGGAGCAGCTTGCTCTGGACCTCATGGGAAGGACTCATGAAGGAGAGGTTCGTGAGGGACTGTCTCCCATGGGAGGGACTCCATGGGGAAGCAGGGCAGGACTGTAAGGAATCCTCCTTCCTGAGGAGGAAGGAGCAGCAGGAACCACCAGCCTGTGAACTGTCTCTAAACCCCATCCCTCTGTGCCACTGGGGGGAAGGAGGGAAAGAAACCAGGAACAAAGTGATTTGGGCCCGGGAAGAAGGGAGGGGGTGGGGGTGTTGTGTGTGCAAATTGTGTCCCCCCCATCCCAGTGCATGGGGGGGAGGGGGCAGTTGAATGAGTGGCCACAGGGCTGGTTCTTTGTAGTTTTAGGCCCAAACCATGACAAAGACCAATCAGATTTTCCCAAAGCAGCCAGCATTGTTGTTTATCCAGGTACTTACGATTTCAGGAAGTCTGCCTCGCCATGGGTGTTGAGAAGTTCACAGTTTGTCTTTACAACCTCCTGAGTTTCTTGGACATGTTTGTTCAGTTCCTCTTGCTGCAAACAAGTATAAATTTATTAGTGGAGCAGGACATTCTGGTAACAGTCATACAATATACCTTGTGACCTCTTCTAAATCTTAGTTGCTTTAAGATACCTGTTTTGCAAGGCTGGCCACCTCTGTATAGCCTGGATGGCATAGGGAGGACTTGGTTCTCATCTGAGTCTGAAGTTCTGGCAGAAATTCTGATTTTTGAAATGTAATTTAAATTACCTACCCATTGGACTTACTTTCTAGGCAATGGGTTTTTTTGTTTGTTTAAATTGTACTAATATTTTCCAAGTCTAGGGCAACTAGGAGGGGAGTATCCATTTCTTTCCCTTGCCCATAGCTGTCAGGGACTCAACTGGTGCTGAGACTTGTGTGTGGTTCAGTAGACTAGGAGACCTTAGTTCAGGCACCTCTCTGTGAGCTGGCCATGCAGGTTCCCATCATGACCTGTGAGCAGCCATACTCAGTATAGGCAGTGGAGCTCACAGAATAATTCAGCTAACCACCTATTAATAATCTTCAGGACAAGCACAATCATGCCTCATGACAGAGGCATCAAGAAGTTGAGTGAGACCAATCTGGAATTTTAAAAGGTGACCAGTGAAGTTGCTCTGATCTGAAAAAGCTCTGCATCCTTGTCATGGGCCCCTGAGTGCTTCATCTCCCATTAGAACACTAACTTCCCCGGGGATTAGTCTCTCAAAACTGTTTGTCTGCTCTTCCATAGGAGCTTCTCAACCCAATTGTTTCATAATAGGTACCAACCAAGCATTCTAATTATCTGCAAACAAAGCTTTGCACTTACAGCATTTCCATAGCACTCAGCAGGGTTGTCTGTCTTGCAGCACTTTTCCAGGAGTGCTTCATATCCCTTAGCAATTCTCAGAATCAGCTGTGTGGAGAATTCGGGGTGTCTTCGTGAGTATTCATAAAGAAATCTGAAAGAGACACAAGCTGAAGAATTAGAGCTCCCACATAACATGCTGCTTTCTTGATTGACAATGCTCCTCAAGATCAAGTCTGGGTGGACAATGAGCTTGGAATGCTGTTTGCTTGTTCTAGTAGAATTTTTTTGGTTGTTCTGTTGTCTGCAAACAGGGCAAATGTGAGAGGAATAAAACAGTTCCCCAGGAGAGAATACTTCTTAAGCAGACCACATATGTGGACATGCACCAAGTCCTCAGATTAAAAAAAAGAGATTGATAAATTCACCTTCAAATCGGACAGTGCTGAACAGAAACAGTCACAAAGCAGCATAAATGAGAATCTAGGGGTTCAGCTAGAGTTGAAGCTCCGTTAGTTACATCAGACTTGCATGTGGGCATATCTTTTCTCCAAATGCACTTGAAACACCCAAGAGGACAGGTTTCCCAGTAGTGCAAAAGGCCATAATCCAGTAAAGACCAAGGATCATTTGCAGGAACATTCAAATACAAGCACACATACTGCTGGCATTACTTACTCTGACATGAATCCATCATGGTCTTTCTGAAAGCCATTACACACTTCCTTATCTTGGACGTATTTTTCAACTAATGAAGGCAGATCTTCAGGTTTGTCATCATACTCTGATTCAATAATGCACTGGCTTCGTTCCACAACTGGCTTCTCACAGCACTCTTTGATTTTGCTTGAAAAAACATCTTGTTTAGAGCAAATATAGGTCACAAGCTCTGCCTGTAAAATGAAAACATATCAGACAAGTTGTGAAATAATAGATAAATAAAAGATGGATTTATTAATCCCCTCTCTCCTTTTTAGACTCTTCCCTTTTCTTTCAGGTCATCCATCTACTTAGCACTTACCTGAAAAAAAAATGCTGTCTCCATACAAATAGAAATAATCAGAGGGATGGGCATGTCCTGTGCATGTTGAGCATATTGTTCACAGGAGCGGGGAGAGAATGTGATTTCCTCCCTGATCTTAAAAACCTTTGGAGGGCAAACTCTGGAAAGCCAAGGGACCAGTTTGAGTGACCTGTCACAAGGATGCCTGATTGATTTTGTCAGTTCTGTCAGGTGCACAGCTATGATAGAGAACAAAGCATGAAAAAAACCCCACCTGAAGCCCCAGGTGTGCATGGCTACACAAAGCTAGACTGGACACCAGCTGGTTTTAAAAGTGTGCCTAAGGTCCAGCCAAACAGGCAATGTTTAAATTGTGTCACTATTCCACAGTTTTGCTAATTGTGCCATTCTCTAGAACAAGGCTGGATTAACAGCAGTACATAGAACTCAGCAGGAAAAAATTATGGTCTTTCTGCCTCTGCTTTGTTTTGCTTATGATTGATTAGAAATGAGTAAATACCATCAAACAGTCTCCCTGATAAAGGTGTTACTTTAAACCAAAAGCACACTATACTGTAAGTAACAGCTCGTTGCCCTGGTGATCAGAAAGGACTAGATCCAGAACCAGTCCAAAACCTAGTTCTAGTCACAGTCAGCAGAGATGACCATGAGTATTTCAGTGGCTAACAAACATTCTAGAAGTGTGGAGCAGAAGTTCCCTGGACTGTAAATTAATAGCTGCACAAATTACTATATTCCTAAACATTTTTCAAGTATGTAAACATTTTGGAAAAGGCTTAGCTTACCCTGTCATCCATGCACTCGACCATGTCCCCTGAACAGCACTCTTTGTGGATATCTGCAATATCATTTACAACTTTAACCAATTCGGTGAGCGGAGCCTTGGGATATTTCTGGCTCATGATAGCAAGTTTCCTAGGTGGAAAAGAAGAAAAATACAATTGTTTTAAAGCTCCCTTCAAAATAGAAACTTTGCAAGTCACAAACACTTAGGACACTGCAGATCAGCACCATAACAAGTAAATGTTCATTCATTCTTATCTCATTTCTAATGGCTAGAAGGAAAGGGCATGGATACCTGCACCAGTAACCCAGGGCTCCTATAAAATTGAGAGAAACAAACTTGTGATTCTTCTGCTGTATCTGAGCTCTGTGAGTCACACCCTGGAATTCTCCATTACTCCTGAGCAACTTTAAAGCATCTTTAGACTGCTTAGTACAGATGTATATAGTCCTAATGAAAACCTTAATTCAGAGCTGCCTCTGTGTAGCAAGGTGACTCTAGGCAGTGTCAGTACATCAGACTAGCCCCTGAGTGAAAGCAGCTCTCTCGGCTTGGGCAAGTGCTCCACTTAGTGATTGCAAAATTCTTTCTTAATCTTAAAAAAGCAACTTTGAAAATAACCTTGATTCTGCCAAATTGACTGCTTTAAGGTTCAAACTAGCAACTTTGGTTAGTGATGTGCCTCTAGCTAAAAGCTGTAGGCTTTGGAACAGGGCACAGCTTTGGCAAAGATGTGGATTAAATGCACTGGAACCTCTGGTTCTGAGTGACTCTCTGTCAGTTAACTCTGCATCTCCTGGACTGGTTTTAGGGATGGTTTCATTTCTCTGTAAATCTCATGGCTGATCTTATTACTATGGGTCCTTACTATCAGCCTGGAATACACAGGTTCCCCTTTGCACCCAGTCCTTATGCAGAAACCTGACCAGAATTAAATTCTACATTTTAATCAATTTCTGTTGGCTTAGTGTTGAAAAATGGACCCACTGGTCTTTATTGTGTTGGGCAATGGTTCTCAGCTAAAAGCATGCTAGGGAAGTACTATGAAAACAGCTTTCAAACTCAGCACATAAAAGTTAACTAAATATACCGATGTTTTCCTCCTGCATGGTTTTGGGTTTGGGTTAAAAAGACTATTTTTATTAAAAATGGAGTGGAACTTACTGTGCTTTGAAAATTCTCTCACCAAACTTCTGGAGGATTCCACAGGAATACTGCTGCTTCACACTCCCT